CGGTCAGCAAAAGTACAAAGGTTCTTACACTATAGACAGAGTCAATGAAAATGGCACTGTAAGGCTCCAACATGCACGCCAATGGCGGAACCGTCTACCAGACTTGGAAAATAATGTATTTACACCCATATAAGGCCTGATCCCCTTGTTGGATTGCCATCGTGCGACGAACATGTCTACATCTAATCTCATGAGAGTGCCCGCACTTTAAATCATAGTTTCTCCTTGTCCGACTGATGTCTGCCTTCTGTGACCTTGTCAGGGGGCGAATGCAATACATGGCTCTTAGCCTTATTCGTGACCGTCCTAGATAGGGTTGAGTTCGACTCAGACTGAGTCTCGTGAATAGTCATTCAGACAGGGTTCTCATAGACCGCTAGTCATACTATGTCGATGGTGATACATCGCGCTAGATATTTGCTGGCGTGGAGAGAGCGCTACTAAGAATGCTAGACCGAACTTCACGCGTTCGTTTTGATCGGGAAACGAGAGGATTAACTACCACAACCTATCTTATCACCCGTTACAGTGCCGAGGAGTTAGATTACGAATCCTGATTGTTGATCTCTCTCGGTGATTAGTTATCATAGCTATCTAATCCTCCATAAGAGTTCTTCAACGCAAAACATCGAAAGATTTCCATAGCGTTTAGCGTAGGCAGAGTTCGCTCATTGGATTTTGCGAACGCATGGAATCCTGCGAAGACTTTGACAAGGGCGTTGATTCCAAGCAAGCTCCTTCTAAGAATAACAACAGCAAGAAGTAAGTCTACTCGCAACAACTCCAAGAGCGAAGAGAAGTGGTGTGATTACCACGAGTCCAGCAGTCACAATACTGCTGATTGTATGACTCTGAAGAAACTCTAAGCCAAGTCCTCGTCTGTCAACGATAGCAAGCCAGCTTACAACAATAACAAGACTTGGAAACGCGAGTCCGACGACACCAAGAACTACACCAAGAAGGAAATATCTGTCCTCATGAAGAAAATTTCCAACGCTGCGGTCAAGGCGGATTGCAAGAAAAGAGAATGAAACCATGTTGCCAAAAGCAAGTCGGAAGACTCTGACAAAGAGGATGACTCCCCTGTCGGGTCCCTCAACAAGATGGACAAGAAAACGGCTGCAGTCGACAAGGCACTTGCCGAATTAGACTTCAAACATTCGGATGGAGAGATCACCGTCTGATGATTAGGCCAGTATGATGATTCAAAGGAACTATGTTCCGATTTATCATAACTAAGTGATGAAGATATCTCACTACTAGTAAACAAGATGTTGTGCAACTGATGAATTCTACGGCAAAGTAGATAATTGCATAGCAACTGCTCAACTAGAGTCGACATCTATCCAGCAGTGTAAACCGCGTCCGGGCAACCATCTCGTACGTCGAAAGACAAGATACCTCAAACTATCGTCTATGTTTGATTTAACAAGCGAGAAATAGGGAAACCAAATCCCGTTCCACTCCGTTGCTTACTGAGTACAGGAGCCGCTGACCGTGATTACCCAGTTCAGTGAAGAGATTAGCATGAAGGATCTGGGCGTCCAAACGAGGACTAACCGGTAAGGAATTAAACCCAGCACGAAGAAGGGGGCATTATAACTCTGAGTTCCTCGATAGTAGAATTATCGATTGGAACTTGCACGCCACCAACAACTTGGGGCGTATGACATGATCATAGGTCGGGACTTTCTCTCCGATCTAAGAATCAAGTGCGATTTCACTACCGCGTCAACGAAGTGGAATAGCATATCTTTCCCTATGAAAGATAGCAATCCTAAGGATACAAAACATGCTACTGAATCTAGACAGATCCAGGAAATACGAGTACCACCGAGTACCAATGGGCCTATGCAATAGTGCCGACATCTTCCAAGAGAGATAGAACACTCATGCATGACTTAGGAAAAGTCCGTGCATACATTGAATATCTACTCATCCTAACGCACAGGCGATCTAAGTGAGCAGTTGAAAAGTAGGATGAAGATCTCCGAAGGCTTCGAGAAGCCGGACTAAGATCAATGCTACCAAGCCCTTCTTCGAAAGAAGAGAACTGAAGATCCGAGCTACTGGATTAGTTGAGAAGGAATCCAACCGTAACCAAGAAAATAGACGAGATCCAGAATATCGCTCCTCCTACGACCAGGAAGAAACCTGGTAGATACATTGGACTAGAGAACTAATATCGAGACATATGGATAAGAAGATCACATGTACATACAATGCTGGGGATCCCAAGAAAAGGTATCCCTGTCCATTTCATTTGATTGACAATGATTGATCACGTAAACGAATGGTTCGAGATTGCCGAGATATGCTCCAATGCAGCAGACGAAGTAGCCATCGTTCTAGAAAAGACGTGGCTCACCATATCCCTGGCCTGCTGAGGTTATCGTGGATAGAGGACGCGAGTACCGCGCAGAGGTCAAAAAGACACTCCGGGATGCATAGGACTCCATCGCAGTCATTGACACACTTTCAATCGGAAGCGATCACAAAGTCCGTTTCGAAGTAAAATGGAAACACAACAAAGAACGTCGCCACGATCTCATCCAGAAAACAAGGAGAAGGAAAACGAACGCGATGTCCCATCAATACAATGGCCAACGATACTGTGATGATTCAACGGTATCAGCACAGCAAGTATGGTCAGCCAAGGCACAAAGGTCCTTACCAAAAAGACCGAGTCAATAACAAAGGACGCTATACCGGCGCGAATGCACCGCCATGGCGTCACAGTCTATCCAGACGTGGACATAGGTATGTACACCCATACAGGCGATCCTTGGAGGAGTTGCACGTTGCGCGCTCATCGCGACATCCATTCTCCGGAGAGTGCCCTGCACTTCTTTAATTCATATGTTCTGCTTGGCCGACTGATGTCGCGCCTTCGGTGACCCTTTTCAGGGGGCGAATGCATATACACGGCTCTTAGTTTTATTCGCGACTCGATCTAGATAGGGTTTGTGACTCATGACGTAGTCCCTTGCGAATAGTAATTGAGACAGTGTTCTCAGGACGCTAGTTCGACAGGTGTCGAGAAACATCGCGCTAGATTTTTAGCTTGCGTGGAGAGCTTCCACGATACTAGACAGATACTAGCGGAAGTTTCCACGTGTTCCGGACATGGACCGTGGAGTACGTAGAGTTATTGCCATAACCTACGATATCACACTTCGAGGCCTCCCGCGGGAAAGAGAGAGAGACCAACTTCAATGAGCTTCACAACGATCTCTCTCCATGGATTAGTTTTCGTAGCTTTCTAATCTCTCTCATAAACTTTCATTCTCTCAAACTCAAAACACTCGAAAGATCTTTACACTAGCTTTTAGCGTAGTGCACGATACTCAGTTTCCGTCAAATCCCTGGTGGCACAGGACTTCTTGCCGCGGTGTTGAGTCTCCGCTTTCTTGACTTCCTTTACCACTTCATTCACAGGATCGGACTTGGTTGGATTGCCGGAGGTTCCATTCCATGTGGCACCTTTGATGGGCATGTAGAAGGAGATAGCCTTCTTGTCTTGCTCAAGAGTAGAGGAGCGGCAAGTTGGATTCTGCTCAAGATCTTTGAAGTCAACATCGGTCGTACCATACGCACGCCATTTCAAGTAGTCGGCAACGTGGTGTGGTTGGATGCCGGCCAAAGCACTAGGTTGGAAGCGAGCCGCCTTGGTGTATGTCCTCTTGTGCAGCCAGCTCATGAATTTGACGAAGAGACGATGGTAATCCCGGTTGTACTTGGGCTGTTCCGTGGGTGCTTCAGGCAAATCCGGCACGTCTTCCAACCCAAAGGCTCCATCATTGGCATTTTTGGCCATGGTGGAAGAATTGTTTGGTCAACTAAGCAATTGTTGTGGTTTGGTTGAGCTGGAATTTTGGCAGAGTTCCTTTATAGAGTTGAAGGAATGAAAATAATGAGCTCAAAACTGAAGAACTGAAGTGTCGGAGGGTACGGAGTGGTTGCTAGCTACCAGTACGATTAGCGATCTTGTACGATTTCTGCGTTTTTCTCCTCTTTGCTTGAGTATGCCGCAACCACGTACGATTCACTAAGTATACCCTACCTGCAACGATTGGATCTTAGAACGATCCGTTCTCATTGGCTGTGGGAATGATTGAGTATACCGTACTGGCAAACTGAGAGAGAGGCACGCATCATTGGATACCTCCTGTGGCTACTTAAGGCGAAATCGGAATCCTCTCAGTATGTGGTTGGTCTTAATGCCGGTGTTATATCTTCCCTGTTGCAGTTTATTTAATATTGGGAGTCTTATTGAGAGGATCTTTGTTTCAATGACTGCCGATACCATACATTTTCTACGTAGCATACTGTGCCTGATCCTGACAGTATGTAGAGTTACCTAAGAGTACAGGGAAGCACATACTGAGCCTGTGCAACTACAGGCAGCTTCGGTTTTAAAGATTCAAACGCGTGCCAGGTTTTCTCATACACTTCTACGAGAGCTCGAGTAGATGTGTACCATGGAGGTCGGCACGCGTTTGCATCATTAAAATCGAAGCTGCTCGTACAGTTGCAGAAACGTAGTACCGTACCGGTACCGGTACCACAGTAAACAGTACCATACTGTAGAGTGATCTGCCCATTAAGACCCACCCCAGATTAAGACTATCCTAATAAATAGAGGTACGTACGTAGGATCCTACGTAGACTCAGTACCAGAGCCTTGGAGGTGCTTCCTGAGGGGCCACGTAGGATCTTACAGGATCCTCTATGTAGGATCCTACGTAGATGAGTACCGTGGAGTCTTAATATGCAGATGAAAAGAATTCGTGTCAAAAGTGAGGATAATTTCAACTGCTCATAACTCCACCAATAAGTACACTGTGAGGTTGCGAATTTTGTGGCATACTCAACTACATGTGTTCTATCGATTCCACCCTTTACATGTACTATATTCGATATACAGACATGAAGAGAATATTCCGCGGAACGGTCGGTCTTAATGCCCAGATCACTCTAATACGTAAAGTCGCGGGTGCAAAAAGAACAAAGTCACGACTGAGAGTTTTATCCTTGGACCAGTTTACAAAACTCGGCGTTTGGCGTGTTACAACCAACGAGGAACCACCATGTCCTCCTCTGCAACCATCACCAACACATGGGAAATTTGTTGCCCTCTGGCCCTCTGTTGTTGCTGTGCGCTGCTACCTCTGGCACCAGTGCTGATACCACTCTGCGCATGCGGCATGATCCTACTTCTCCTCCTCTGGCCGCTAAGTTTCATTTTGTTTGCCGTCGCCATCTTCCTCATCACCCTCGTCCGATTCCCCGTTAACCTTTACTGTTTGGCAAAGATTGTGTTGTCCAACGTCTCTTTGGAATGGGATTTCAAGATATTGGCCCTGTTCATGCTGCCCATTGCCAACGTTGCATTTTCTGTTTGGTTGTTCTTCTCCACATTGTTAATGATATTCACTACCACAGATGGATTGCTAGGATTCGACTTTAACGGTGCCATGGCAAGATACAATCGAAAGCAGGCAGATTTTACAGATCTGCAGCAACCGATGGGAGTTCCGTTGAATTGGGAAGGAGAGACTTATGGAATCGTTCGGTGGCGGATAAATCTTCTGGGGTCCATGGTGCTGTTGGCGGTGTCTTTGCCGGCTTGCCTCATCGGGTCAATGTGGATTACCATAGTCAAGATTGTTCCTGGTTACCTTTCCAGGTGGGCGGTTTGTTTTGAGAGTTTGTCCAGGCTTGGCCCAAGGGATCCCTTTCTTTGTTGTCAAGTGGTCTACTATGTTGGAGCTACAATTATTGTTGCGCCGATTGCAGTCTTGGTCCAGTCAGGATCGGCCATCTTGAAAGGCACTTTGATTGCATTTAGGGTTCCTCCTGTCTTGGTCCAACATGGCTTCGTTGCAGGGTTGTATGAACCCCTTGTTCTCCTTCATGAAATCGACACTTGGGATATCTTTGGGCTTGAGCGATCGATCAGTGCTATCCCGTGTCTTCCGGAGACCAATCCATACAAAAACGTTGACAACCCTCAGCGGACAACCGCCAGAACAATCACCGGGGGTGAACGTAGAATGGCGACCAATGCCTATTGGGATCGATTTGCGAAGCAGTGCATTCAGACTACATTTGATTTGTTGGAGAAGGGATGGATAACAATCGAACAGGTGGAATGCATGGATCCATCCATTTTCCAAGCAATCCCCGCCATTGCTGTCTTGACCGTTCTTGTGGACACCGTTCATGACCCAGAAGCAAAGAAGCCAAAGGATATATCGTGGAAGATTGATGGGACTCTCTGCAAGCAATCTCAACGGCCACCCCTGGACAACGTCGCTGCTCTCCTGTTTCCCAAAGTCATAGAGGTCAAACGCCTCCTTTGTAAAAAGAACGTTGCCAAGGAAAGCAACGTTGAAAGCATTGTGGCCTTGATCTGTTCCAATACCAAAGATCCCACGGAAGTGCAGAAGGCATCTCTCCGGAACCACCCCACCAACGAGAACAGCAAGCACGAAGACACAAACAACTTGGTAAGGGCTAGACTCACGGAACTCACCCTGATGATTCTGCAAGTGAAGCCTTTTCGGGATCGCATGACCACCATCTTTGCCCATGAATACCTTGCAGCAGCGGCTGACGAGGAAAGTGCTCACCCAGATGCGAAATACATTTGTCAGGACGTTGAAAGGCAGGATCAAGACTCCACCGAGAGAGAAGCTACAAGGGGTTGGTTCGCGTGGTGGTGATGGGGGAGAGGCAACGTGGAACGGTGTCTGGCAACGCAGCATACGGTACAATACAAGGGGTCTAGCGGTACCGAGGTGCGCGCGTTCTGGATTCGAGGGGCAAGATGCCTCCCACTGGCCAGAATCCATGCTATTAGTGGGATAATCGCGGTCAAGTTACAGAGACCTGACTATTTATTGTGCTCTGTACACAACAGACTGGGAACAAACCAAACGAGAGCGTCGATTGAAGATTCAAATGACAACTCTTCCATCCATCTCCACAACTGCCTCCACTTCCTCACTGTTGTCACTATTAAAGGATGACTCCCGCCCACTGTTCGCGGGTAGTTTCTTGTCGTTTTCATTGTCCAACAACATAGCCAACTCGGCCACTAGTTGGCCGTCCCCACCAGCCCGCAAGGCCTGGTCGTAAAGTCGTTGTCGTTTCGGTGACGCCACCGCACCTGTGTCAAACGATTCCTCTCTTCGTTTGGCTCCAGCTTGGACTCTTGCAGTATTGTCATGCTGCTTGTTTCTTGATTGCACCGCATTTGTACCAGACTGACCGTGGTTCTGCGCCATAGCTCTGACACCAGCCAAAGGCAGGCCTTGCGTGGTGCTGACTGTCGCGTGCTCTTTGAGTTGTTTTACATCTCCAGCAATCGCCCCAATGAGCGATCCCATTTGGAAAATGACCTGTTCATGAGATCGAAGTTGTTTCCCTTGCTCTTGAAGTTGCGCTTTCATGCTGTTAATCACATTGGCAGCCATTAATGTGGTTGCAAGTGCTTCTTGGTGCTCTTTGACTTGCTGTTTTTGTTGCTGAGTTGTTGCATTCAATTGTTCCTGCAACCTTGCTGCGGTTGCGCAAGTTTGCATATGTTTATTGGCCAGCTGCTGTTGTTGTTGCTGTTCATTGTTCCGTGCGGCAGTAAGCTCTTGGATGCGCTGCTGTTGTCGTTGCACCACCTTTGCCAAGTGTTGCACAAGTTGTCTTTGCTGCTGTTGCTGGGCCATGAAAGCTTGTTGCTGTGGGCCTTCGCGATGACCAAGGCTATTTTCGTTGTTGCTTTCACCATTGAGGACCATTGGGTGCTCTTGTTGCAACTGACATTGACGCTGGACTTGACCATCCGTGGTCTGGGTGCTCCATTGCCGGATTGCTTCCAGACGATTGAGATATGTTTCTCTCGTATCTGGTTCCCGCCTCATTTGATCCTGCAAGACAAGCTGTTGCATATTGTTCACAGCGCGCCTTGCTTCGGTTGGCTGTATGTGAGGTTGGTTTTGTGCGTTGTGGCTGTGATTCTGTTGGTTCTTACCGGCAATGGCGCAAGAGGATCCCCCTCCTCGTTGTTGTGGCGGCACTTGCTGTTGGTAGTGTGGTTGCATCTGGGGAAGGCTTTGCCTATCATTTACTAGACTTCCCTGGCTGTTGGCATGACCATTGGTAACTGGCATTTGCCGCTGCATTGAACGATTTTGGTTTTCTATTCCTATTCTCTGCAATTGCTTTTGTTGTGGCTGCGGTTGTGGCTCTTGGAGTGTGTTGTCACCTTTAGGACGGTCGTTGAGAGTAGTGCTGATTGGTTTGTTCTGTGCATCCACTGTTTTGGAGATATGCTTTGCTGTTGTTGTTGCTGTTGTTATTGAATTCTCACAGTCATCGAGGGATCTGTATGTGAAGGTTTCAAGCACCCCAATGTCTCCAATACAGAGTTGCTGTTGAGGAGTCAAGTTGCCCTCATGATATGCATTGACCTGCTTTTGTATCCACAGGTGCAACGCTCGATGTTGACCCCAAGGTGGGATGTTCATGTGTCCATGGCAGTCTTTGAATTTGAGTATGTAATCAAATCCATCCAGCCATGCTTTCGCTGGGTCAACTGTAGCATGTTGTTGCCGTTGCTGCTGTTCTGGATTGTTCTGCTGTTCGTGCAATGATGGTTGGAGAGTTCTGAGGATCGCCTCTTCCATGGCCTTGTCTTCGTCTATTTCGTCTTCTAGTTGATCAACATAGTCTTCGTCTTCCTTGTCATTCTTGTCTGCGTTGTCGCTGGTACGCACCGCCTCCTTGGAATTGTTTCTAGTTGGTGTTACACCAGCAGTAGCTGCAGATTGATGCTTCTGCTGTTCTGGATTTGTGGGCTGTTCTTGTTGTGACGATGAGTTCTCATCCAATACTTTCTCCAGCTCTGCTTCTGATAGATCTTCTGCATCGCCATCTTCATATATCACATAATAGTTCTCTCCACTGAAGTCCATCACTCTCCCTCGGAACCAACCAAATTCCGGAAAGTGTTTCCGTACTTTCGTTCCCTTGGGATACTTTAGCGAGCTCTTTGGCGTTTTCTGCTGATTGCTTTGGGTTGTCTCATTGGAAGTGCTATCTGTACCAGCATGAGCACTGGTAATTGTTGCTGGGGTTGGACTTGGACTTGGAGGGACAGTTTTCGACTCCCGCTGTTGCTCTTGGTGACGACTAGTCTTGTTGTTGTAGTCGTTGTCGAGATATTCATGAATCACCTGAGAGACTCCAGCACGAGCCTGATACTCTTCCACGGCATACCACCTGCCGGAGACAATATCGAGAATGACAAATCCAGCGTTGGGAGATTTTTCAAGAACTTGATGGACCAACTGATTCACTAGCAGGAACTTGCGAGTTTTGTCGCCGCGAACATAGTCCTCTGCAATGGCGCGAATTTGTTGGTACACCCAAAAATTACCAGCATGTTGTTTGATCGGTGCATCGCGACCAATCACAAAATCAAAAATTCCGGGTTTGTAGTCTTTGGGAAGAATGTGCTTATACTTGTTCGGAATCGCTGTGTCGGGGTTGGTACTTGTATCTGGTTCCTCTATTAGGTCTTTCTTTCTCTCATTGAGTCCATCGATTGTCTCCTGCTGATCCGACTCCATCTGCTCCAATGAGGCGCTAGAATTTGCCATGCTGGTGGCTATTGTTGGGACACTGCTATCCCCTGCCATCTTACGACCTGTACATGTACCGCCCTTGCCTTCAGAACAGAACGAAAGCTCCTTCAAGGATGAAGGATCACTTCTGGTTTGCAGTTTGAGGACTTGTCGACGAACGTGCTCTCTTATACCAGTAGTAGAAGTTAGATCATGTGACTGACGTCATGATCCAATCACGGGTTTTGTGAAAGATACAAATAACGGCGAGCCTCGGATCTTTGGGAAGATGAAAAGCAACAAGAAACACTCTTGCTCTCTATTGCTATTGAAGCATTGCCAGCTAGCTAGCACACCATGGCATCATTATCTGGTGACTCGAGCGACATGAAGGATGCTGTAGCTTCACCAAGTAACAGCAAGAAGAGACCCAATGAAAGCACAGCCAATAATAAGGATGATACAGCTACCCATCAACTACCCTCCGTCAATGGAAAATCGATCAGGGAGGAGAAGCGAAGAAAATGGCAGGCCAAGCAAGAAAAGAAATCTCAGAAATCAAACCAAGAAAGCCAAAGAGAGGATTGGTTGGAGACCAATAAGCACTTTGCTTCCATGATCTCAATGCAAGACGTCCAGGATGTATTTTGTGAAAATTCACTACGGGATAAAGAATCTGCCATCAACGGGGACCAGGCAAAGACTGCTGCCAAAATGGTGATGTCCGAAAGTGGCAAGTTGGCAAAACTCCTTGAACCATATCGCAATATTCAAGACAAAAAAGAGAATCCTCATTCCACAAGTTCGCCTTCCAAAGGAGAACGGTATTTCATTGCAGAAGGAACCGAAACAGTCCGACTGCTCATTCAACAATCTACGAAAAGGCAAAAAAGGGTATCCAGCCATTCACCATCACCAACAGACATGTTGCCATCAATCTGCATCCAATCAGTCTTTATCAAAACCAATGCATTCTTTGAAAATCCCGTCTTTCTTCAAAAAGACATTGAAGAAGCGTCCACCAAAGCTGGACCTGATAATACTGACAAAAATAATCCCAACCCGGCTGCACCACCCTTTGCGGTCCTGATTGGAACAGACACAGTTCAAAGCAAGGTGGTGGGTTTCCCATTCTCTCGTGGTGCTCTAGCCTGTGGCATTGTCCCAAGTTGGAGTGACGACGAAGATTGGCTGTGGGGATACCTCAAAAGTATGCGCCGTACCAACAATCAGCATCCAACAACTTTGGCACAGCAAAAGCCACTTCGAATTGTAGCATTGGATGGGGTTTGCGATACTGCCAACTTGGGATCGGTGGTTCGAACTGCATCGGCATTTGGCGTCCATGCCATCATCCTAAGTCGGGACTCTTGCGATGTTTGGTATCGAAAGGCGGTTCGAGTATCCATGGGCCATGTGTGCCGAGTCCCCAGTGTTCGAGTTGCGTCTCTCACCAAGACGCTTCAAAGGCTCCAAGAGGAACTCCAGCTGGATGCCTACGCTGCTGTGATTGACAATGCCAATTGTGTTCTGGAACAAATGAAACAGGGAGATGTCAGTGGCAATGGTTGGTGTTGTGTGATTGGAAATGAGGGCAACGGCATCTCCAAGGCCGTCGTTCAAGCATGCAACAAGAAAATCAGAATAGCAATGGAAGAGGGAGTCGACTCATTGAGTGTTCCAGTCTCGACCGGGATACTCCTTCATGGATTAAGGGAACGAGAAGCAAAAGCACTGCTGTAGCAATGGATAGCAACTGCTTTGAGCAAGCGTTTTAATTTTCCTGAGTGGCTACATCGTATCAAAATTTTAACTCTCCGCTCTGCTCGTGCACATTGAAATTCGTTACAAATTACTACGCAATGAAAGCTAAAATCCACCAAAACCCTGTTGTGGAGCGCCAAACTGATTTTGCTGCTGCTGTCCATACTGGGGTTGTTGCCCGTACTGAGGCTGCTGCCCATACTGGGGTTGCTGACCAAATGGTTGTTGCTGAGGCTGCCCATATCCGGGTTGTTGCATTGGTGGTTGCTGCTGCTGCTGATTCATTGGAGCGCCGTAACCTCCGAACTGCTGCTGGGGTTGACCGTACTGCGATTGTTGCATTGGTGGCTGCTGCTGCTGCTGATTCATCGCTGGGGCACCATAGCCTCCCCAGTTGCCTGACTGAGAGTTCGAAACCACAAGAGCCCCAGGAGCTGGCGCAGGCGCGTTCATAATTGGTTTTGCAGCACCGGGCTACAACAAACAAGAAGTGAGTTAGAGCACGGGTCCCACCAACAACAATAGACAACAAAAATAATGTGTCTTACTCGGCCTGATTTCTTCATATCCGAAAGAGACTGCTGGGCTCCAACGGGCGCGGCCTCGAACGGATTATCTCTTGCAGTGTCCTTCTTGGAAACCAAATCAAATTGATCCATGCTCGCAAACTTTGCATATGCTTGATCCGCAAGGGAACCAGCGGGTGCCCCGGCTCCAAAACCGTTTGTTCCGTTTGTTGCTGTGCCATCCAGCATGCCATTATCCTGTCCTTGCAGCGAGCTCATTGTCAAAACAGGCCCAGCAGGCGGGGGAGCAGGAGCTTGACCAAATCCTTGGTCAGCGGGAGGCGGTGCAGGGGCTCCACCAAACGCATCCGGAGTTGGTGCAGCTGCGAATTGATTGCTGTTGTCTACTCCAAAATGACCGGACGCACTTGCTGGAGCAGCCTGAGCTGGGGGCATTGAGAAAGATTGACGCGTGGGAGCTCCGTACTGGCCAGCAGCGGCTGGTGGCGCACCATATTGCTGGTTGGGGGCACCTGGAGCTGCAGCAAAACCAGCAAAGTCGTTACTGGGGGCTGCTGCTACCGGGGCAGGCGATTGAAAGCCAAAATCAGGCTGAGGCGATCCAAATCCTAGAGTTGATGGAGTTTGCTGGGCCATAGGAGTAATTGCAGCTGGAGCCGTTTGCACTGGTGCAGGGGGCTGCGCATCGAATGGAGTCGCAGCTGGCAGCTGTCCATAGCTTTGCTGAGGGGGCGCACCGTATTGCTGCTGCTGAGGGGGTGCACCGTACTGAGGGGCTCCAGGATACGGCTGCTGCTGAGATCCTCCAGGAGGAGCAGGAGCTCCATAAGGAACCATAGCACCAGGGGGAGCAGATCCGTATGCGGCAGCGGCTCCAAACGGCTGAAGACAAGAACATAAGCTAGTCGTCACATGATAGTCACAATAATAAGACAGGTATGATTTGACTTACATCATTGCTTCCTGGGGGAGGTGCTGCGGCATATCCATTGGCGGTCGTCGACGGTGGGAGCGCACTGAAAATAATAGTCACAAAAACACTTCATGAGCTCCCGTCAAATAGAGCCAAATAATTCTTCTTGGTTGTTGACTTACGGCATCGAATTCTGCGGGGGAGGGGCAGCAAATCCAAATTCCCCGGGGCCAGCACTGGTGGAAGGAGGCAAGGCACTATCCCAAGCAAGGGTCAATTTAGCAAAACGAAAACCAAAAAAGTGAAAATAGAAAACAAAAGGAAAAACTTACGGGAGAGAGGCGTTTGGGGGACCACCAGCCTGGGCAGGTTCTTCCTCCAGGAAATCCAAGAGAAGCGACTGTCCAGATTCACTGATTTTGGGTTTTTCATCAGGAGGCTGTCTCTTAGTCTCTTGCAAAGAATTCTTGATTGCTTCCTGCAAGTAGGCTTCTTCCTGTAATGCGTGGAAGACCATCATAAAATTTTCAGAGGAAGATATAGTGAGAAAAGACGCCATCACAAAGGGTCAAAAATAACTGAGAATAAGTTAATTGTGCATACCTCATCCATGTTGTGGGGAGCCTCCAATGAAGCAATTCCTGATGCGTTACGCTTACTTCTACCACCACGATCAGCGAGTCTCACAGGGCTGGACGGGGAGACAGCATTACGAGGGTCATTGGGGGCCAATCCAAGACGGTACACCTTGGGGAAGGAGAAAAAGGTCTGTCCATCCACATAAAAATCGTATTGACGAAAGCCAGGAGTGGGTGACAAGGGAGGAGACGCATGGGCCACCACCTTCAAAACGTGATTTCCTCGCATCGTCCAGGTATGGTCAAAAACTCCACTTCTACTATTGGAATAGTGAACTTCCTGGCCATCGGCAAGAATCAGCCTCTTTCCAGAAGTGATACTCCAAACCAAAGTCACATCGTGCTCTTCTCCACGACATGCGGTTCCTGTCTCTCCAGCAGCCAGAGCATCGGGATTGGCAAATCCAAACCTCCTGCAAAACAAGCAAAACAGCAAACTTGAGTGTGAGTTGGACCCACGGTGCACCTTCCTTACTAGTACATGTGCGGTGGTACTTGAGTGGCTGCCCGCCACCCGCTCCACGACAATGATCATTGTCATGGTATCTTTCACCTCCGTTTCTCTTTTTCACTCACCAACGAACACGACGCTTCGTGCTGGCAACGCGCTTTCCACTGGCTACGGCCGTAAAGTCGATCTGGTAGACATGGGGCACTCGGGCGGTGCTGGGCATCGCGCCCGTGGATACGGTCAAAGCTCTTCCATTAGGCATCTTACTTTTTCTTGTTGTTGTCGGGGTAATCAAGTAACTCTTGCTTTGTCCTCTTGTCTATTTTGATCCGATTGATTAGTCTAGCCAGCTAACAAGCCAGTTATCCGCTTGGTTCTTGGTCTTGCCAATGAATAGACGAGATGATGATCGATCCTGCTCCCGCTTCGTTGTGGATCCTGCTGTGTGATCCATGATCGAAATGCTGCCATCGAAAGAGTGCGCAAGGCGGTCATTTTTCACAACGGCTAATTTTGAGCATTCCGAAAACTACAACCATTCCGTGATTCATCAGTCCCACTTCCGAATTGAATTATTGATCATTTGGATCAAACCACTCCCAGGCTTACAGGTGTTGGGATGTCATGGTCAATGATTGGGGGCTGATGTTGGTGGTGGTGGGGTTGTGTGGAAAGGAGAAACTGGTGCTGGTGTGGGGATGGGAGCAGGTGTACCGGTAGGTGAAGCAGCGGGGCCGGGTGAAGAAGTGGAGCCTGGTTTAGAGGTGGAGCTTGGACAAGATTCAGGAGCGGGCGATGTTCTAGATGCCTGCCGTTACGGTATGATGTGTGGGGCCTGATGTTGAGCCCATGTTGAGGCATCGTGTAGTTCCAGGCTGTGGCCATGTGTAAGGTCCTCCGGATTGACAGTCATAAAAAGTTTAGGGGTGGGGCACACAGACACGGACAAGGGCACCTGGTGGATTTGGGCACCAGTGCAAAAGGTGCTGCTGCTTGGCAGCCAGGTGGAAAGTCATCTTTCTATCGTATTGTTATGTATCTATTAGCAAGCGCATCATTTCAGAAGGTGGATGAGAGCGATGCCTGAGCTTTTAATTGAATTGGGTTATATTTCGGCCATGGCAGCGTTACGGGGTAGTACTCAACCTGGCATGGTTGCCCCTACCGGAACCATACGAATTCACTGGGGCTGTCTCTGGTCTGTAGATTCCCATTCCTCGTTCCCATCCTCGTCGTCAAGGCGTTCAATGGTGACGTTCGATGTGTTTTCCCGTCTATTGTTCGGATTATCCTGATTCATGGCCAGGAAAGCCCCTCCAACTGCAGCTCCAAGCACCGCGAGGCCTCCGACTCCAACGCCAACGCCAACCTTCACCCACAAGTTGTCGTCATCTCCATCGTCGCTTTCTGTCGTTGTTGTAGCGGTGGCCGCAGCCTGACTAGGAGTTAGGTGCGGTGTAGACAAGTCCTCTCGTGTCCTCACGGCATTCGCCAGCCTGTCACTGTAATCGAGGGGTTGGATCGCTGCTTCTTCCGAGGCAACAGACTCCACAATGGGACTCCAACCGTCGTCAGACATCACCGATTCGTTAACCTTACCGGCACCGGCTCCTTCTGCAACACCGTCATTCCCGCGAAGTTCCTGCTCGGGTGACGTGCACCTACCAGGGACTATCGTTCTAGATGCTTCATCCATATTATCCTCTCCACTTGTCTCCAGAATAAGTCCTCTCAAAGTAGCTTCCATTCCCACGACGAAGTCATTGTCTTTCCCGTTGGCAGATAACTTCATACAGAACTCGTTCTTTTCCGACTGCGCACGTTCAAAAGATTTGAGGACACATCACAGTGAGGCGATGCAAAAAATTGTCGGGGCACTTACTTCGTCAATCAAGTCCTTCTCGTAGGCTTCCGCGATCAGCTCCATGACTGAAGCAAGCTTCTCCACGCTTTCACTTTCAACTGCTGCCTCGGTTTCATTCGTTCCCTTCTCTGACGATGATGCCATCTCAGCCTCTTTGGATTTGGGTTCGGGATCAGATGGCTTCGTTTCGGGTTCAGATTCTTTGGTTTCAGCTGCCTTGGCTTCGATTACAGGCACGGGCGTTTCAGCCACAGCTTCAGACTCTTTGGTGGCTGTTTCAGATGTCATGGTCGTGGACACGGGCTCCGACTCTTTGGTTTCAACAAATGGCTGGGACGTGCTGGAATCCTTGGCGGAAGGGGCAACAGTGTCCAAAGTCTCCTTGTCGGCAGCCTTGGTCGAGATCTCCTCTTGCGGGCTGGATGCAAGGAGGGTGCCTGTACCAGCTGGTATGTCGATGGCCGGCTGATGCTCCTTGCTGTATGATGGTTCCGTAATGATGCGTTGTGTCTCTTTCTTGTCCACAGAGAGAGTCTGAGCTGCCTCCTCTGATGCCCCTAATGACGATTCCGTGGCAGCAACCGATTCTTCAGGGTTCTTCGATGAACCTTCTCTGAAACTGTCAGGACTAGACAAAGTCGCGTCAGTGCTCAAAGCTTTGGCCGGGAGATCAATGCCATCTTCGGCTTTTTCTGACTTTGCTGTGGAGCCAGTTTTGGTCTCACTTTCGTTTGGCTGTACTCGGCTCGCGATGTCTGGAGAGACGTCATCCATATTTTCCATTGTTTCCGAGGCGTCGTCGACAAGATCATTAGTTGCATATTGTCTCACATTGTCATTATTATTCTCATCGTCTCCGGCAGTTCCTCCACTGTTCTCCCGAGAGGATTGGTCGGTATCGTTATTGTCGCCATCGTCATTGTTTTGCTGAAACACATTGCCCAGAAATCCAAAGAACCCTACGATTGGAGCCACAACTCTGCCAATATGGTTGTCTTCTTCGGCCAGGACTCCCAAGTTATGCGCAATACGTTGGCTGTTTTGTACGGCGTTCACGGCTGAACTGGTGAACGTTGCATTGGATCCTCGGGGCGCACTGTTAATGTCACCTTGGTGCTCAAAGATGACTTCCTTCGCAATCAAGGCCAAACCATGCACCCACCCGTGCCTAGACACCTCGGTTCCAAACTCTGCCAGCGACATGACGTTCTTGGCAAAGTCGACCGCGACTGCACCCGTCTGAACGCATCTTGCTGCTGTCAGACTCGCCTCTAGAGCACCGACAGAACTGCGCATGTTTCTCCAAACAATGAGCAGCGTGGGAATTGTCAGTTTCTCATCATCACTAGATGCCTCCTCCGAGTCCACTGCCAAGCTACTAGCCTCATCGTGGCAAAGTAAAATTGTCATTGGATCTGCCTCGGGGAGAACCTTGGACATCATATTAGTAGTATCCGTTGATGTAGATGATTGTTCCGTTTCGGAATGATCGCCGTCTAGATGACGTGACATGGCCTCGCAAGTCTTGGCCCACGAATGGATTCTTAGCACTTCCAACGCCATCAAAGGAATCAACATGACCATGATGAAGAAGGTTGTGCTGTAGGATTGGAACATGGAAGCAATGGCAAGTTGCCAGAAGAATGCCAAAGATGCGGGACAACGTCTGGCAATGGAAACGACCAGTGCTACCTCTCGAGTGGGAGGGAATTCTTCCACGTTGCGTTTGTAGGCAGCTACAGCCGGCTTGGCTCGATCGTCCACATTCATGGATGCCAGCATATTGTGTAGGTTATTCAATGGATCCTCTGTCGGACGATCGTTTTTGTTTCCTGTCGACGATGATGATGAGCTGGGAGTGTCTGTATTTTCAGATGTTGGTGTTGTTGGACGATTATTCTCGCTTTGCTGCAGTGTTGATACTTCGGTTGACATTTGTGTGGTTGTTGTGGCCAACATTTGCTGTAGCTCGTCCCATTGAAGCTCTTGTTGCAAGTCTGGCGTAGCTTGAGTAGTGTTTGGAGGTGTCGCTTGTTGTTGCGATGATGGAGCTTGTGGTGGTGGTTGCGGCTGCGATGATGGTCTGTACGACCAATAATCCACAATCCAGCGTAACATGGCCAGTTGCAGCATTTCATCTTCTTGCACCGAAGTCCCCACTTGGGCCAGGATATCTCTCAATGTATGCCTCAAGGCATTTCGTACCATTCCGGAAAACCATTCCATGTTGTCGTGTTCGTCATGGGCTAATATGAGAGTGCCCGTCGACAAGAAGAAGGGCGCTGCCAAAGATGGCATGGTCATGAATTTCCATTGTCGCATGACAATCCACAAGGCGGAACCGTACAAGACGAGCAAACAGATTTGAAAGACCTCTCTTGCAGCCTTGGTAGGTTTTGGAATAAAGTACGAGACACTGGTAGCTCCCATGAGAATAGCCACCATCAAATTCCAGACAAGGCCACCCCCATGTGCATTGAGAGTGGTCAAGAAGGTAATTGTCCTGACTTGCAAAATGGTAGGAAAGAATAGAAGGATCACACAGAGAATGCGAGCTTTTTGAGGATTCAGGTTCTCCAGTGTTTCCGGAATTCTGTGGGGTAGATGAATGACGGCATCAATGAAGCGTTCGAACCGTCTGGGGATGTCATGTGGGTTCATGTAGATCCAAGTTCCCAACATGATTGTCAAAAGCAGGATCACTCGTGGGTACCAGAGACAGGTCGATAGAACAATGATTTTGCTAATGGCACCCACCACCAAAAACAGAAAGGCTACTCGAATTTGGAGATCCAAAACCCAGAATTCTTGCGCCAAATGCCACAGGAAATGGCTCCATAGTAGCTGGAGAGGATGATGAACCAACCGCTGTTGCAAATGTTGTCGCAATTCCACTCTTCGGCGAAGACTCTGCACGGATTCTGTGCGGGGGACAAGGGATGTCGAATGATTGGACGTTCCTGATTGATGCGATGTTGCTTGAGAGACACCTGGCTGGGGTCCCAAGGATTCCCAAGCATCCTCTTCCTCATCGTCGCCACCACCACTACCACGACGAGCTCGTGGATTTCCAAAACTTGACATTTTTCGTTTTTATTGTTCTTTCTTTCAGAGAGACGAGAAAGCACTGACACCACCAATTGTCTTCCTTTGCCCAGCCAGAGCTTCAATGAATGATGTATATCCCACTAAGAACAGCAGTTCGTTCTACTTCCGCAGAACAGAACTCCTGCATGAGCGGCGAAAGAAGTTGAGTGTCATCGTGGCCGAAATTTTGAACGAACCTTCTTAAAAAGCCAGCAGAGCGTCGAAGCTCACGGTATTTAACCTCAGTGTCCGTATGACCACATACCAGTACCGTACGGTAGCCATTGACTACTTGTACTCTTAGCTACTAGCTACTAGAGCTTGGTTCTCTTGGCCCGACTATATGCATTTTATCTATCCAGTTAGGTGTGTACCGGTATCATAGAAGGCAATCCATTCATTCATTCATCTACAAATCTGCAGTCTTTCGCCAAAGGTCGACATCACCGCGATCAATGAAGTGTTGTGCACGAATATGCTGCGCTTTTTTGGCTTTCTTCTTGAAGAATGGGTTCTCTCCGGATGCCCTGTAGGATGGACAATCAAAGCAGCCTCGTTGAGGGCACTGTCCTGATGCTACAAAAAGACAAACAAACAAACAAACAAAATCAATTTTTTTAATGAAATGGCAAGAAGAATGGGTTAGTATGACATGACCACTACCCCATGTGTCAACACACACACACACAAACAAACACACAAACTTACTGCAACACTTGTTCTTGATATGATGATACCAACTGCTTCGATGATTGTTGTCGCTGTCAATACCCGCCACATACAATGGAGTATGTCCTCGACGATGACCCATGTGCTTGTGATCATCTCGACCATCGCCCTTGTCCCGAACGGTTTCCAATTCCTTCAATTCGTCATACGACACGTGATGCATGCAATTGACGGGGCAGGCCGCGACACCCTGTTTGACGTCGGGGCCCTTGCGTTGGTGAAACGTCCGAGCACGTCCATTTTCAAGCATGAGAAAGGAGGCGGGTGCCGCCGTGACGCATTGCATGCATCCAATGCAACTTTCTTCGTCGATAAAGACAAATTCTCCTTCAGTCATGTAGAGTGGTGTTTTCCCGTCGGGTGCCAAGTCCACGTGTTCATGACTGCTCTGACGAATGTACTTGTGATTCTTTTCATCGTGATGTTCATCCGTGTCCGTGGTGGTAGGTGGCTCGTAGTAGGTCAGATCCAAGATTTCACATTCATCGACAAAGTCTTGTCCTTGTTGCTGCTCGTTTTTGGCTGCCAGAAGGCTCTTTCCAAGTTGAGCTTCCAATTGAGCACGTTGCTTCTTCCACTCTTGTACATTGGGTGCTACAATGCCATGATTGCTCAAATCCCTCCATACTTGACGGATATGATCAGCATTGCGCAATTGCAGAATCTCCAAGGGATTGTGATCTTCATCACTAGTGACTGGCATTCCGTTGGGCAGTCGCGTCAAGGCATCCATGTAAACTTGCTGTAGGTTCTCGAGGCTGAGTCTTCCCGTTCCGTACTTGGAGTATTGGGAGAGCAGCTTGAGGACCCGACTGTCATGAGGCCCAATCTTGACCACCTTTTTCGTTGTTCGTGTCGAATGATCCATGTCTTCCACTAGATCTTTGGCCGACCTGGATCGCCCTCGGGTGGTATACGAGTCCAAATCGGACCCCATGCTTTGGGTCATCCATCGACTTACTGCCTTGGCATCCATGGTTGCTGTAGTGGTAGTAGTGTCATTATTATTATTGCGGATTGCCGTGGCATGCCTCTTGAACATGGTGGCGATTGCCTCTTGTAAAAAGGGCGTGGGTTCCCATGCATTGTCTTGTTTGTCGTTCCAAGTGAGTAGCTGTGCCACGTCTGTCTTTTGCAGTGTGGTCAATTCGGGCAAGGCTCGTCCCGCTTGTACCAGCATGTCTTCGGGACTCTCATTGCATCGTACGAGCATGGCAATTTCTTTGGCCATGTTTTCTTCAAAGGCTCGTTGTTGCTGTTCGGGCGATGCCATGGTTTTCTGTGATGCCGCAAAGCCCGTATCGTAGAGGGGTGTCGAGGAGAGGGGTGTCTGTAGAATATTTTCAATAACGTCATTGAGCCACATGTCTTCTTGGGAGGGTTCTTCGGCGTCTTGGAGTAGCATCTTTTGAGCGGCAGTTTGGACAATGTCTTGGTTAATGGCGACATCCTCCCCGGCATTAGTTTCCGAGGACAGCGCATTCCAATCATCGGCCACCGACCATCCTTCCTCCGTCCAACTGTCTTGTTGTTCGTCATCTACAGCAGTGTTGGAGTTCTTCAAGACGACGAGCAACGAATCTGGACGACGGAGAACCATCGAGCTGGATAAATGACGAGCATTGGGTTGCCATGCCGCTGATCCTTGGAGGAGCAGCGCCGCCAACAACAGGGTCAAGCACACACGGACCATGGTTCTCGATTGATTATCTTGCCTTTTAGGGTATTATAGTCTACTCTAGATCCAAAAGGCAAGAATTTGTGATGGTTTGGTGGGATACTAGTACTAGTAGTGCGGTAGCAAGGAGTGTTATTATTACAGAAGAAAGTAGAAAGAGTGATGCATGGGCGAGAAAGAATGTGATGGGTCTGTTCTTTGATGAGCAGGAGGTTTTTGGATCTGCCGATCTGCCTGCAAGGGTACTCAAAAAGATTTAACAGCGTATCTTTGGCAACGCTGCTTTGGGAACTTCGGCGAAAATGACCTGTGGTAGCGATTTATGACTATCCAGTTACCAGATTACTAAAATCAACCACACAACAACTACCAAGTAGTAACACAACACTATAAGCAACCTCTTTTCAACACCACCATCAGCCTTTTTCGGCTTATCAGGCGTGGAAGCTACCCTAGCGATCGATAGAAGAACAAGGCGATAGCAGCAGAAGCGTCGAAGCAACGACCGTATCGGCCGTATCCCATTGTCGAAGAAGATACCGTTCGTTCGGTCGGTTGAAGCGAGTATCCCATCGTCGGCCGTTCGACCAGCACGAGAAGAAGAGCCGTTCGTTCGTTCAAAGCGACGGCCATTGTCGTCCGCTTGTCGAGAAAGAAGAAGACGCTAACCGTGGTTCGAGCGCCATTGTCGAACGCCATTGTCGTGATCAAGAAGATAGAGAAAGAAGAAGAAGGAGTTTGTTAACTCGACGAAAAGATACCTTTCGTTCGTTCACTCGAAGCAGCGCCATTGTCGCCGATTCGAAGCTACCGTTTCGGAGCTACCGTTCGAACAGAAGAAGAGAGAACGAGAAGAAGAAGAGATCCTCATTGCCAGTGTAATCGGCAGAGGAACAAGAGAAGACCTCCAAGCGGCATAGCAACAGAAGACCTCTCAAGAAGAAGGGGCACTCTCAAGTGGAGCGAGAGATAGAGACTTCCAAGTGGGAAGCAGAGTTTGGACTTGGAATATTGATCCCTCCAGTCTGGATCAATTCCTGCCTCATTGTCACCAAAGAAATCGATTGAGCCAAAGGAGAGGGGACGCCGGATCCAAGAGTTTTGGCCTAGACTGCCACAGACTGGGTGTGCAGAGCTCATTCCGTGAATACAGCCTTACTTGTCTGGGTGTGTACAGTTTGCTGTTGGAATAGGAGCAGAGAAGAAGACCAACAACTGTTGCTCATCCAAGTGATACCGCAAGAGAAGAAGTAATTGGAGGCGAATATGGCAGGCAATCTTGCAGCCATGAACAACTATCTACAGAATACCATCGGTATTGCCGAATTAGCCACGAGGACAGCATTGAATGATCAAGGATTGGATGCCTTCGTCTCGCTCGATACCTTTACTGATGCTGATATCAAGAGCATCTGCGAGAATGGAGGAAACCAGGTGGTACCATTCCAAATCAAGCCATTGCGGCCGCAGCCGATGATGAAGCTGCCGCAGCATTTCAGCCCAGAGAAGTTCACAATCGTGGACGACAGCTGGGATTTGTCTTTGAGAAGCGACTCAGACACTACGGTTCTACAAGTTTCATATGACACGAATCCAGCGTGAGTTACATCCCAACCAAGCCAGTTTGGCGAGATTAGAATAGAGTTTGGGCTTTATACGAGTCCGACGAGAAGGGATCGATGTTGCGGATCCTCCCCAACTATTGAAGGTCGAAGATGTCCGACGAGTTCTGGAGTCTATTGTACAATGTTCTGAATGTCCAGCGAGGCGTTTGCGGTGCCCTCTGGCTTATGTTACGAGACCAAGTCACTTTGCCAGGAGCCTTGATACCGACACCGCAGATAGGCTGACCCAGGTTTTGGCCTTCAATCGCATCCTGAATGAATTGGTCCGAAGAACAAGACATTGCCGGACTCATTTCGTACAAGACAATCAGGCTGTTTGGGCCATCATTCGGTCAGTTACTCACGGTGGACCTGGTTGGACATGGGTCCAACGTTGTGCAGCGCAACAGAACGGTCGAGCACTTACTTGGCCATGAAGGTTCACTTCTTGGTGATTCGTTCCAGGCTCGTCCCAAGGCATTCGCGGATAGTAGCCATTGAAACCTACTTTACTTGATGGGAAGTCCCGCAACTTCACTTTTGAGCGCTACTGTGAAAGGCTACCAAGGCCCTTCACCGATCTGGAAACCTCTGGTGAAACCTTTACTGAGAGCCGCAAGATTCGCAAGCTCCTGTCCGGCATTACAGACCCAAACCTCAGAGACCGCCAAGTCCGTCATCCAAGCAACTCCGCATCTACGCGATAGTTTCCAGGAGGCTATGAATTACTTAGCCGAGCAACTTGTTGTCGCTGAACCCACTCGACCCACAAGTAATATTTCATCTGTGTCTGGACGTGGTCGAGGCGGTGGTGGAAGAGGACGAGGACGTGGCGGTGGTAGATCCCAAGGCCGAGGCTATGGGAGAGGCCGAGGCAGGGGACGAGGCCGTGGTAGAGGCCATGAAGGCCGGGGTTTTGACCCCAATACACCAGGAAGATATTACCATCCCGATGAGTGGGCTCATCTCACATCGGCGCAGCAGCAACAGGCTAGGGACGCCCGCGATGGTGACAAGAGGAAGATTGCCGAGCTGCAGACACAGTTGTCAGATACCCAGTCCCAAGTCTCGGAATTGCAAGCCGAGAAGCGATCCCGGACTGATGTTCCTGGTGGATCTAGCGTAGGCAATGCCATGAATCGGCGAGCATGAGTCTCTGCCGTTCGCACGCTGCGATCCGTTGCTACTCATTTGCCATCATCTCGGATTGAGCTTGACAGCCATGCCGATACCTGTTCCTTTGGGGAAAGTGCTTACGTGGTACATGACACGGGAGAGACTATATCCGTCGATGGGTTTTCAACTGATCTTGGAACCATACACGAAGTACCATTTGTAACTGTGGCTGTGGCTTATGAAGACCCACTCACATCTCAAATTTATATTTTATTCTTTCATCCATCTTTGCTTATCAAGTCAATACAGAACAATCTCATTTGTCCAGCACAGCTGCGACATCACCAGTTAGTTGGCAAAGATGTGCCAGTTGCACCTACCGGTCGAAGACAGAACCAATGAATCCCACTCCATCATTTGTGGTGACTTACGAATCCCACTCCAACTGGACGGTGTTATCTCATACTTCCAAGTCCGGAAGCCCACCGCCCATGAAGTCAATTCTCCAGATCACTTCGTTCATGTTCACATGACATCCGAATCTCCTTGGAACCCTCAAGATCCCCAGTCGGCTGACCTCGAGTCCTCTCTCAGAGCCGCTTTGGATTCGGACATGCCAAGTGAAAGGGGACGGAATAGGAGAATTCAGTCGATCAGGTCAATTCTGGAATCAAGATCATCCGTTGCAATTGACGTCAACAGTCTTGGGCCAGCCCTTCAGGCCCAGATTTCTGCTACCAAGACGAAACCTCCTACCAGGAAGGGAGCCGTGTCAGCGGAAGCACTTGCCAAGCGGTGGAATATTGGGTTGGAAGCAGCCAAGAAAACCATCGCGAATACAACTCAGCGAGCGGTTCGGGATTTCACCCACGCGAGTGGAGGACGGAGGATGAAGCCATTGGCGTATCAACTCAGATATCCTCGGCTCAACGTTGAAATGTATACCGACACTGTTTACGGCAATGTCACTTCCCTCCTGGGAAAAAAGTGTGCCCAGGT